CACGTGTCGATGCGATGCGAAGCGATACTTATCTCGCTTCGCTTGTCACCCTTCCAGCCTAGGCTAACAACGTCAATATTTTTGTGTCGACTGTACTCTCGACGTGTTTCGATTTTTATTTGTTTTATAAAATGATTGCTTTTGTTACGAATGTGACTGTAAGAACATTTTTCTTTAATTTTAATGTTTTATTAAGTTTAATTTTTTAATTGTTGTTGAAAAAAAAAGGAAATGTTATAAAAGCTTCAAAAACTTGATTTGTTGTTGTCTAAATCTAAACTTACGGGACATGATTTGTAAAACAATACTATTAATAAACCAATCCACCGAAAATATTGCGAAATACATGAAAATTTCTCACAGTACATACGGAACGGAGGAAATCATTGTACTTTCTCATAAGTACTCATAAATAGGTGCTTAAATTCAAATATTGGTAACACACACGTGTTGCACGGCGGGGAGCCGAGGGGTACGAGGTAGGGGGGAGGGGGGATTGTTCTTATTACATTATATTGAGTAGAAACCGTAGTAATTAACTGGTTGGAGTTTGCGGGGGTGCGTGTAATATGTTTGAGATGCTGACAGGTATGTGTGGGAGGGGAAACTGGGGTATAAATAGATATACTGACGTTTTTTGAATATCTAGCATCTATAGATTGTTAAAGGTTCAATACTTGAATGGATCGCCAGTCGCACGCCACACAAACTAAGAATATAAAAATCTATAAGGTAATACTCAGTTATATGTACCTACTGTAGAGGTACATACGTAGGTACTATAATCTTTTATATTAGTTGTTGGATTCCCTCTTAGGTGTGACTTTATTTATTAAGTGTAATTTGTAAATGTCTATATATGTCTATCATAAAACGGGTCCAGAATTGCAAACAACATTCAATTTTTTTTTGCTTATGTCTAATTTTATTATCTACCTAACAGTTAATATTTTCCGCTAAAGGAAATTATTTGCACGCCATTACATTTATAGATTTTATTTATTGATTGAATAATTGCCTTTCAACGTGGCAATGCTGCCAGTCTTTTGGGCACCCTACCTCACGACCGCGATGAGGAAAATGTTTTCTTTGATGCCTTATGATATATATATTTTTTTAACTCGTCGAGTACCGTCATTATAGACACAATTATAGAACAATAGGTTGCGGTCACCGGTGACCGCTTGGTGTTTGACAGTTTAAAGTGCAAATATTTTAGTTTTGAATTATTAATATTTTTATTATATATTAATAAGCTCATAATTCAAACTTTTTCTATTTCAGACGACGTTATTAGGACGGGTGACTGTCAAGGCGAATTCCAAGTGGTACTTTTTAAACGTACCATGATATTTTAACTCGTCGAGTACCGTCATTATAGACACAATTATAGAACAATAGGTTGCGGTCACCGGTGACCGCTTGGTGTTTGACAGTTTAAAGTGCAAATATTTTAGTTTTGAATTATTAATATTTTTATTATATATTAATAAGCTCATAATTCAAACTTTTAAATAACACTAATATTATAAAAGAGAAAGTTTTTTAAATTTAATGTTTGTCCGTCAATTACGGTGAAACCACTGAATGGAGTTTGATGTAATTTGGTATACAGGCGGGGTATTGGCTGACTTACATATATGGGATAAAACAGGAATCATATTTCCGCGGACGAAGTCGCAGGCAACAGCTATTCTTTAAATAATATTAAAGTAAATGTAGTACTAAGATTAGTAAACGTAGTTTTATACTAAAACTCTAAGTCGTTATGTAAAAGATACAATGTCAAACATTGTTATTTAAATAACAAAAGTGGTTGAATATATAAACAGTTACACTAACACCCTCAAGGTATTTCTGCAAGTGACAATATTATTAGCACGGACATGACAGCAGCGACATCTATATTTATTTGTTCTTCCGATTATGCACTCAACATCAATGTAAGCCTTAAATCCTTTGAATTGTGGTATTAATTTCCCTCCAACACTTCTTAGTTTTAAGTAACATTTGTAACTATTTTGTGTATACGAAAACATACTTAAATAGTTAAAAATAAAACTTATTTTTCCTTGTTAGTCTTCGTGACTTTCATAAATAGTTGTTAGCAATGAAATTTCATCTCTATGTTGGAGATGGTAAAGTAGGTTTTTCCATGGTTGGTTAAGTGTAGGGTGGAGGCACCTATCATCGGCCACATGCATGTCACGTGCGCGACACGCGTCATCTTCGATAATCTTCTTTGCCGGACTCCTTTGTTACAATTTGTTGCCGCGCCGATATATCTCCTCTACCCCAGAGATCCCAGTTTCAGATACGATCCGTAATGATATTTTAAATCAGTGTTTTGAACGAGCTATTTATTGAGTTTGTTATAGCGTGGAAATTTTATCTAAAGATTAAACTATGACGTTATAAAGCTGTATTGTGATTCGTTTTTTTGTTATTTATTTGAATTTATACTACGACTTGTCATTGAAAGTGGTAGGTGCATTTTATAAAAAAAGTAAAATCAGGAATGACAAGACCTATCCAGGAAGCAGACGTACGTAATATATTTTACTTTTTAAAGTAGGCTTCTATTCACGTATTGTTTAAGTAATCAGGTTATTCGAATATCACTAAGATAGTTACAAGCTATTATTACAAAAGATGCAATTTAAAATCAAACCAACTTTTCAAGGTTATACTAAATTCAACATTATTTCAACAGTGAGCCATTTATATGAAATATGATTCAATTTAACCTAAAGTCGACATTAACAGCAAAAAATCACAATGTCCCCAGCACTGATGTTAAAGTGACAAGAAAATATCGCGATACAATGAAATAAAGTTGTCATTCCCAGTTGAAGGGCCGGGGAGCGTGCTAAATGCATTAATTTGGCCTGAATTTAGTGGCCCGGAAGTGATTTGCTACGGGAACGCATGTTCCAACGCGATATGACCCTAGGACGACAATTGACCCTCTCACCACATATTTTTAGCATCATAAATAAAAATGAACTTTAATCACTCAACTATACGATGCAGTTTTAAACTACAACACTAATAGTTGTATGAATAGTTAACAAGGTTTGGTTACATTTTTTGCTGAGGGTCGTTACTGTAAAGACTTAGCGATATTTACGAAGCTTTTGTTTGCTTAAGCTCTTATTATAAATGCGAAAAATTTTCCGTATCGATCGCTCGCTCTCCAGCACTGAAAGTTATAATGAACTAGAATATTAATAAAACATTGTTCACCTTTCTCGTCGGAGTTAATAAAATACGACGCGTTTCGCCACCGGATCGATCTCTTGACGGTAATATATTCAGCGCTTAAGCACCTCTTAAACAATCCACGTAAACACAATATAACCCGATATTCGATAAATACGAAGACATCAGACGCCCTCACTCCAATATTATGCCTACCTGTCTATAAATTTATATCTACGATCCTTAACGGTACCCTCTGATAACTTAAAGACTTTATCCCCTGTACTGGAATTTTTACGGTAACAAAAGCCTTCATATTTTCTTTATTCATGTCGTGTCAAAATCACCCCGTCTTCCCCCTTTTAGACGGTGGAAAAAAGAGATAGCCTGCCAACTCTTTCGCACTCATTAAAAATGTGTATTTCCGTCTCACGTTTATCCCTCTGTTTCGGTTTTTATGTTTTTCTCGATATTCCTCGGTGAGAGTACTTAATGTGCTTTCATTTTTTCTTAAAACCGTCACCAACAGGATGATTGTGCGAATATCTTAATTAATTTATGTTAAGTATTCGAGAGGGCGAACATTTGTTGCTAAAGGGTGTTGTGTATAATGATCAGTGGTACAGGTCGTAAAATGTCGACGTAATTTTCGAGATTCTCGGTGTTATTACTGTATCTTTTGCGCTACGTTAACTTTTATAGCGTCTTTATGTTTTTGTAGCTTTTTTATAACTACGAAAGAGTTAGGTAAATGGCTGGTTAGCATTCATAGCAGCATTCGCTCTTAACATTAACTTGATAAAGTTGACTATAAAGTGAAAAAGATGTAAAGACTTAGTGTTGAATAATGCTAATGTATCTATGAGTTTATGCGTAGCCAAGGATTACAAAGGTCATCTTAGTTGTAAATAAAGTGACAATAAAAATTTTTCATTGCGTAAATATCTGCTGTTTTAGAATCTTCTTACTGTAACATTTAATTAAAGACCTTTAAACTTAAGTAATATTGATAAAGAAATCTTTGCTACATTGTTTTTTTAATATAACTCCTCTTTGCTGGTAAAGAACAGCCTCTATAAAGGAAGACGTATCGACGTCTAAAGGATGTCCCAGAAGGGAGCGCCCCGTATTCAAAAAAGGGAAAAAATGAAGAAAAAAAAAAGTTATAACGTCATATTGTTTTGCCGCCAAGTGGTGGGGCGGGAGGGGGGGAGGAGAAAGGGGAGTCCTGTATAGTGCCAGGGAAAGATAAGGCGTTATAGCATCCTGTATACAGAGCCCGTATAGCTGTGGGGTGTGCAGTACCCCATTGTATTTTACGAGGCGTCCTTTCGTATTTTTCATACTTTCTGAAAGGCGTTTCGGCAAAGTGTAGCTCGATTTTTGGAAGATTATCCTCTTGTCTTGGTTTTAAGGTCCTCTAGGCTAAACTTAGTAATGAACGATTGAGTTTTAATTATATGAGGAGGAAATATATGATTATTTTTAAAACAAAAAAACACATATTTTTTTGTTTTCTTGTGAAATTAAATACTTTCGACGATATATTGATTTAAAATATCGGGTGACGTTACGATTTACTACATCTTATTGGGTACCGTGACGAAACGACCTCCCCACTCCTAAACTTAACTCCGTTTTACCTAAATATTGTTTTCTTACACGAACAAAATAAAAATACATGTCTAACATTTTTTCATTATCCAACTGACGGACTAATTACATTTTTAATTTTCATACAGTCTACTAGTTACTAAACACAAGAAAGCTTCAAGAAAGAAAAAAATAAGATTACTTACACTAGGAATATTATCCGAGGTGCAAACTCCTTCGCTCAGCAGGCGATCCCTGATCTCCCAGGCGAAGATTGAGGGGCATTCTCTCTTGTACTGGGCTATCTTGCTGACCACCTCCGCTGTTGCGACACGGGGCTTCGAGCCCCCAATCGCACGAGGCCTGATAGACCCTGTTTCGTAATACCTGTGGATGTGGAATGGGTTAAGAAATGTGTTTTTGGTTATACATAACATAACATCACGCCTTTTATCCTCGAAGGAGTAGGCAGAGGTGCACATTATACCACTGTACAATGTAACACTCACTTTTCACTATTTATGTTATGAGTCCCATGTAATAGGGAGTGAGCTTATTGCCATATACCGGGCACAATTCCAGACTCCGTGCTACTACTGTGATTTTTTTGAAAAACCTAGTAATACCTTGCCCGACCAGGGAATCGAACCCGAGACTCGTTTGCGACCACTCGGCCAACGAGGCAGTTTATTAATTACATAATGTATTTCTGCATGATGAATACCAGTTTTGATTTAAGGAATTGTGGTACAGCGTCAGGTTTTGTATTTATTTGATTAAGTAGTACCTAAAAATAGTTAGAAATATCAACTGCAGACACAGTCGCCTCTGCCTAAAGCCGAACGTCCACCGCCAGCTAAAATAAGTTAGTTTAGTTTAGCTCGCATAGTTAAGCAAGTTTTTCATAATTATATGTGCGTCCACCGCAAACTATGCTAGCTGAGTTGCCATGTTTGCAAATTGCCATTATAGTCTACTAGCTTTTACCCGCGGCTTCGATCGCGTCACAAAAGGATAGAATGTAGCCTATGTGACATATACCAACACACACAGCGCCATCTATACCAATACTTTGGTTTTCCCTCGGTAATATCAAATTTTTCCGGGATAAAAAGTACCTTATTATTTAATCCAGACTTCTAACTTTACGTCTGCAAAAATTCAAAGCAATCGGTTTAGTAGTTACGGCGTGATAGCGGAACAAACAAACAAACTCACTTTCCAATTTACCTCTATAATATTAGTAAGGATAGCTAGGTTTTAAACAGTTTAATAAGTCTACAATAATCTAGATTAAGGGTAGAAATTGTGACAAAGTCCTATCCTGGTTCCCCTTCATCAAGGGACAGACTGCCGTTACCGGTATCAAGTTCCCAGTGGCCGGTGTCAAGTTCGATGCCAGGTAAGTGCACTTTTTATTCTCTTTGCCTGCCAGCTGTCGTCTGTTTCGAACTGTGGCAGTGAAGACTTTTTAATTTCGTTTTTGAATGAGGAAATATAATGTCATTTAGGTTTATGAGTAAATTATTGCGATTGAAATCTATCTTTTGAACCATGGAGGAAGCAAAAAATATCTTTGGCTCGTATGATGGCAAATAGTTTATGTAGCTTAGCCTAGCGGTGTATTGCAGATATCCAATGTCTGCAACACAGAAGGAAGCAAAAGGAAACAGAAGAATGAAATAAGCGCTGTTGTAGATGCTTGATCTTCAGTAGTCTATGGTCCACAGATAATATTAGATATTAAGTATTTTATGATTTCAGCAAAATAATAAGACTGTGGACCATGGACAAGACTTCATTTTTTTTAGCTTTTATTTTATTTTTTAATTAGGTTATGCGTGTTCTGCGCAAAAATAAATGGATTTTCTTTTTTTCTTCTTTTCTTTCTTTCTTTCTAGTTAGGCCCACAGGAAGAAATTCCAGTTGGAGTATGTGAGGCTTATGTACTCTGTTTTTATGTATTGTTTTCCGTGTTGTATGTGTGTACATTAATAGATAATAAATAAATAAATCTTGTGTCGCGGGTTCGATTCCCGCACGGAACAACACTTTGTGTGATCCACAAATCGTTGTTTCGGGTCTGGATGTCATGTGTATGTGAACTTGTATGTTTGTAAACGCACCCACGACACTGGAGATACTAGACCCTAGTGTGGGACAACGTTTAAAAAAAATACAAATACATAAAATTTGTTTATATCTAGACTCCAGAAAACTATTAACTGCCTAACAAGGATTCCTAACAAAGTGTCAATACACAACCAATTTAATAGAGCGTAACCCCACTTTTCAGCTAAGCGTTTGACCGCAGCCATATCTAAACAAACAAACTAAACTATGTGAGGTATGCAGTAAGGTACACCTCTAGCAACTGGTCGTGACCGCAAGCATAGTTGCTGGTCGCTAGTCGCTGACCGCAACTAGCTAGAAAAGAACTACTCTAAACACACCTTGTTGAATGTGATTGTTGAACATATCTTAAAACGATTAAAGGATTTTTTGGGATACGAGTTTCAAGTTGGGAAATATTTAGTTAAAGTCGAAGCATTTATTTGAATTGAACCTTAATTTGTTACTTTTAAAACGTCATAAAGTCACTCACACTGAAGTAACATTTACTATTATTTTCTTTGGAGATTCGGATTCGGAAAGATTTCAAAATAGGTTATAATCAGCAAAGCCATAGACAAAACAATGATTTTTTTAAATTCTTTTTTTTTCTACTGGTCGTCATAGTTCAACAGCAACTGGTTGTCTACAAGGTGACAAGCTCAGACTGTTGACAAGCAAGTAATATGAGAAGCACAGCTTTTTATTTAGAGTCTGTGCATTTTGCGGTTATAACCCGATTCTTAATTTAAATATTATTTATTTTGTTGCTAGCATTAAAATATAATATGCAATAGGAAATGTTTTTTGGTAATTAATTCAGTTTAGAGTGACTTATGGTAACTTATGATCTTATTGATAGAAATCTTTACATTATAAGTTAATTTAAGTAAATAAAATAATTTACTATTACTTAATGGGTTTAAGTAAAATTACGTAGAGATGTGTATCCTAGGTATTACACTTATTTATTTACTCGTGTCATTTACTTTTGTTTTTTTTTAATATATAAAATGGGTTTTGTGAAAGCCTAAAAATAATCATTTAATAGTCATGGATTGGACCTTCAACGTGGAGGAGAGACGGTAGTCATTCCATATGAAATACTGATATTCGGTTAATTAAATCTAAATGCAACTCGAAGGAAAATTAAAAAAAGGCGCGGACAAAGAAAATATCAAGATTTGGAAGGCTATACAGACCTGCCGAGTATCTTGGAGACGCAGCCGTTGGAGACCTGCAGGATGCGGCTGATGTCGCAGGGCCGCGCGCCCGAGTGCGCCAGCTCCACGATCTTCTGGCGCGTGGAGTCTGGTAGCGGCCTTCCTCCTACAAACACCCCGCCGAGCTGGTTAACACCGCTGTGACCTGCCGCACCATACCACTGCTTACTCCAATTAATCACGCGGCTTGAATCACGTGATAACTTCTCCAACCCTTCATTTTATTGCTACTCTCTACTTGTTCTAGAATATTCTAGTTCGCTACGACTTACTTTACTGACTGGTTTTGTTTGCATCATAAGGTAATGTCTAATTAATGTCTGGAGACTCAGGAATGGGCAGTAGATTTATTGGAGTTCTACTTTTATGTAGATGCTGACTTCATTGAATTAGAAGTGAAATATGTGTTGGTAGTAGGTACTATGGACTATAGAATAGTTACTTGTTAATTATTACCTCATATAATGAGAACCGAAAATAATATTTACTATCTGTAGGATAGATTTAGGAGATCACAGGGTGTGCGAAAATTCGGATTTCAATTAGACATGTCCAAGCCCGCATACAGTGTCGACTTGCATCACTTTAAAACATTGTATTTAGCCAAACACCACTTTAGCGCTTGTCTACAGAGCGTGTAGATAACTAAATGTATGTGAATGACACTGACACGTGTCAAAATTTACGTCAATTCCATATAATTTGGTTTTCTACTCTACAAGTAGACAAGCGCTAAATGGCATTTGGCTACAGCTGCAGGGTTTCTTTATCTCTTGTATATGTTATCTTAAATACTATAAGGTTGTAATAAAATGGTATATATTCACCATTACCTTTACCTTTGTGCGCCAAGTCGTCCATCCTGTCGAGCAGGTTGCCGTCGGGAGGCCACGGGCTGATGGGAGGTAACTGCTGCGCGGGCAGCATCGTGTATACCCCGTATTCTTCTATGGTGCCGACCTGGGATACAGGATACATTTGTTTATTTACATCTTTTATTAATTTACTAGCTTCTGCCCGCGACTTCGTACGCGCAATCCCGTTTCTCCCATTTCCGTAGGATTTTCAGGACTTTTTTCTGTCATAAGAACCTTCTCCTGGCAATAACAAACAACAAATTAATCGTAGCATGATATTTTATAGCTTATAGCCTTCCTCGATAAATGGGCTATACAACACAGTATATAGGCTATAAAATATCATGCTTCGATTAATAGGCGCCGAGCAGAGCGAGGAAACCGCGTGGAAGTAGCTATATAAGATAAGATAAGATGTACATCATTGTTTATTCATCAGCCCTAGTCTTCATGAGAAGATGATACGCACAAGCCTGTCATTTAGACCGAAAAAGGAAATACGCATTTGGTGCTGCATCTGTGTTAATCTGAGGTTCATTAAACTGCGGACTACAAAGTGTAAATATTATGGCAAACCCTATGACCCTATAACATAAAGGTGTAGTTAGATAGGAAATGCCGACCACATCTAATCTAATTTAAAAATATTTAATTGTAATTCACTTGGGAAAGCTATACATTCAACTTGATTAAAAAGAATGTGGTATGCAATAGAAGCCGATGACTGGTTTCCACGATTAACCACAGGCAAATACAAAGGAGTTGTTTGATAGGAAATGTCCATAGACCACGTCTAGACTAATTTATAAAAAAAATACAATTACTATTTTCTAGTCGTTTTACAGAAATGAAGACTGTTACAACAAATTTATTACATTTCAATTTTCTAATTGGTTATGCATAGGTACCTATGTATGAATGCAAAAAACGAATACGTATGTATGGATGAAGAAAGAATCGATTATACAGATTTTTTTATTTAATTTTGTACGAAAAAGGACATATGCTTACATATTAGGTAATGTGTAACATTCGTCAAGATTTATATTATAACTTTCGTGAGACATACTAAATTATTTATTATGTTTTCAGCTTAGTCACGTAACTGTTTGTCGAGGAACTCGACTAACTTAACAGCGCAACAGTCGCCATGTCGCGGGTCGCGGAATGCTGCTCATAAATACGAGCCTCTAGCGTGGCTTGAAACTAGTCGAGTTCCCCGTCAAACAGTTACGTGAGTCGAAAACATAATAATTAATTCGTCAAGGCAATTTTTCGTTCCATTAAAAATAGCTTTGGGCCAACAAAAACCTATTTGAAATCACTACCAAAAACATTGCTAATATAAGTAAATGAAACGTCCATGACACTAGCTATTTAGAACGAACAACCACAGCTTGGAACCACCCTCTAGTTCCCATGGGTGTAGCAAGATTAAGAGATTACCACGAGGGTTGTGGGTACCGCATTCTATGAGCCAGTAACGTACCCACAGACAGTAAAGATCCTCCTACGAAGCGTGAAGATTATGAGGAAATAGGGAGAGGTATATATGTAGTGGTATTTGTAAATTGATTGCTAGGATAACTGTCTAACTAGGGTGTTTGGATCCGATGATAATGGAACTTGTTTTTAAATGAGAAACTCGCTTGATGTCCTTCTCCAGATTTTCAAATATAGTAGGAATGTAAGATTTCAAGACGATTAGTTAAGCAGGAGAATCTTTGAAAGTCTTTAAAAAATAAATAACATCTTTGTTAATACAAAAATGTTACTATTCTGTGTCAGATTTTGTATTGGATAACATATATTTGACTGATTTACTTTGTAGTAAATCAGTATATACCGCTCAAACTGTTGTGGTTCTTTCCTCAAAAAGCCACTACAGAAAGAACTTTAACGGTTTTGACACATAATCTTTTATACACATTTGTCTGGACTTTAATGAGACAGACCTCTGAGTTCGTTTCGGCATTTTTTCTCAGAGTAGTCAGTTAGGAAATGTCGACCTCATCGTTCGTTTGATAAAAGTGACGCGTAAAAGTGCTGCCTTGTAGCCTAATTGCAGAAATAAATTCACTTGTTTTACTTTATTGTAAGTCTCTTGTTTTAGCTACATATATTTTGTGATATAAACTTTCAAATCTTATTAGATTTATATTATCCATTAATAATTATAATAGTTTAATAGATAACTTACAAAGTATTATAGTTCATTATGTTCATAGCTATAAGGATTTAAAAAATGATTTAAATAAATGTTTGCATGCTAGATGGTATGTTTGAATGTACCAGGAACGATATTATATCTTTGTAAGACCTTATATTATGTACCTACAATTCAATGCAAATAAATTAATCTATTCTATAATATTCTATGTAGGTAAAGCGTAAATGAATAACAAACAAATAAACAGATAACGAAACTTGTTTTCCTATTTAGGTTTCCTATATAGCCGTCTTTTATAAATGCACTATTCAAGGCAAAAATATTTATTCAAAACGTTTACAAACCACTTTATATTGTATCATAAGAATATAAGATTGGAGCTAGCCCTTCTCTGTTTTGGACTAGTGCTCTTTCCAATTTGTTTCTGGCAAATCGTTATCTAATAATAAAATAACATTTATCGTTGCCTTAGGTATCTATGTATTTAGTATAGCAGTATAGTATACACGTATTTTTTTTAACGGGAGGTAATCATCGAATGACTGCTCCCACCTGGGTGAGGCGGGAGGGAGTGTCAGACTCTTACTGACTAAAAAGACTAAAAACCACCCCGTTCCTTCTTCTGCACGTCGAGCCGGAGCCCCGGTTACCCGTTAGGTTCACCGCGACAATATACCCGTATTAACGTCGTTTTTGTACTGTGTCAGTCGATGTGCCTAAATTACCAAAGAAAAATTGAATGAATATTTTTCATAATATTAAACTTTAAGTCTCTCGAAAACTAAGTATCCATTTCAGAATATTATACGTAAACGTTAATTTTAATTTCATAGTCTTTGTCAACCCCCATGTGAGACAGGCGTGAGGGTAACATTAATTTTATAGACCAAATTCCTGACTCCGTGATACATTGAAATTGAAAAATGTACTACTTAAATGATAAATTATGCTTCTTAAACTGGAGATCAACGCAAGATTATTCCTACTAATCTAGATAATACGAATAAACGATAGAAAAACAATAGTAAACTACTATACGATCCATAATTTAAGTGAAAACGATTTATTCGTACTTTATCAATAATTAAATTTCATTCGACCGATCATTCACGTGGACGGCCGAATGAAGGCAACGCTAAGATATTTTTAGATAGTATACGTGTTCGCACGTCAAACGGAATGAAAAATAATGTTTAAAATGTTTAAATATTTACTCCTGTTATTTATTCAGTGCTTGTTCTTTAATATAGGTGAAGTGAACAGTCAGGATATGTTGAAAGACAATCTTCTTGGAGCTATGATTAACGAACTGTATTTATTGTACAAGGATGCTTATGAAAACGGTAAGGGAGTTTTTATTTCTTGCATATATAGAATATAGAATATACTAGCCGCTTGACGGTGACAGTGGTGAATTTTACAAAAGCAAGGCTGCGATTACACCAGAGATGGAAATGTGTTATGCGAGGATGTCCAACTGTGCTGTGAAAATATGTGATTCGCCGTTTCCATCGTAGGTACATCTCTGGTGGAAGCTCAGCCCAAGAGTTGTAAGAGATGATTGAGGAACAACTAGACATTTGATAAAAATCAGGTCATATATTTAAACGTGGTTTTTTTTATGGCATAAGCCGGTAAACGAGCAGACGGATCACCTGATGGTAAGCAATCGGCGTCGCCCATGGACACCTGGAACACCAGAGGCGTTACAAGTGTGTTACCAGCCTTTTGGGGATTAGGAGTTTGAGTATCGTTAGGGATTCAGGAATTGGGGAGATTGGGGAAGGGGAGGGTGTAATTGGGCCTCCGGTAACCTCACTCCAACGACGAAACACAATGCAAGCCTTGCTTCACGTCGGTTTTCTGTAAGGTTTTGGAAATAGCAGTTACCTACATAGGTTTAATTAATTTGGTTATTAGTTAAGCTAGCGACGGGATATCATGTATACAATAAACTCATTAATGAGAAATATGAGAAATGTGGTGGTATAGTACCTATTCATTATTAATGTTTCTGGGGTGACAGTCTACTATTTTAACAAAATTCGTAATTATAATTGGAAGCCATTGTCGTTTTTCTAAAATTTCGAAATATGCTACCTACATTCATTTATAATGGTCACTTATTAGTCCCCATACAAAGTTTAGATTAGGTATATTAATTATTTACATAACATAACATGTTATGTTGCTGCTTGACTCCCTCATAGGCCGAGTGGTCGTAAGTGTGACTCCGGGCAAGGGGTGTTCAATTCCCGGGTCGGACCAAGTACTATTAGGTTTTTAAAATTCCCAGTAGTAGCACGGAGTCTGGAGTTGTGCCCGGTATATATTAATTATTTATTCGATAACAATATTTTTTATTTTATTTATTTGCCTTGTTGAAGGCACTCCACTATCATAATTTAAGCTATCACTATCGTCGGTCACTGGTGATCTCTATGGCGTTTAACGTGTTAAATTTATTATTGACCCTTTTTATTCAATTCAAACGTAATTTGGAGTACCTAACTATGTTATTAAGAGGTACTATCTAAATATTATTTTTGTATTTCAGAGAAAACATATGTCACGCGAAGATTTTTCACAAACCACAACCATTATACGTTACACGTACAAAAATTAAAAGAAGTAAATGGTTGGAAAACACACAATTTAAAAGTTGAATCAAATGTCCCATGGGGTAAACCGGTCGTCTATATAAATAATCCCGTAGAATGTCATATGCCCAATGCCTTTTTTTCTAGAGAACAATTTCAGAAAATTATGCTTAGTCGAATCGAAGAGCAAAAGAAAAGATTTAGTAAAGATAACATTGATCTAATAAAAGCAAACAAATACTTTGAAACACACACACCTCTACCTTCGAACATAAATGTAAATGCTCACCAAGTCATTGACAAAATAAAGGACGAAATTATTGATGCTCTTGATAGTCAAATAACACGTAATAGCGAGGCTATAAATACAAGAACTACTGAAGAATTAATAATTACAACTGTATCAAATAAAAACGAAGCTCAAGAAATATTAAGAGATATGTCCCCTTATACATATAAAAATACAGTTAAGAAATCAACAAAAACTATACCTGGCTTCAAAATGACCAAAGAAATGAAACTTACAGCAAAAATGAGGCGTACACACCCTAGAAATGAAAATACAAAGTCAAAAACGACAAAGTCAAATATTTTAACAAGATCACATCTTGCCAGTAATAAAAAAATAAAACGAAAGGTTGCGACAACAACAAATCCGATAAGTAAGTTTGTACCTATACCTGACGAAAATAAATCAGTGGAAGAAATCAGTACAAACATAATGACAAATAGTAAAGAGATCATAGAAAAATCTTCTGTTCGTGACTTTCCATCTACCGCACCGCTAACCAGTACTGAACCAACGATAGATGTCACAACTGAAGCAGTAGTTAGTAGCACTAAAGTAATTGCGGATGAAACGACAAAAGAAACAACAACGAGAGAACCTGAAGTTACTATCACAAAGACAGAAACTACAAAAAATACGGACATCGACGTAACTGTTCATTACACTGAATCTACAGCAACGATAACTAGTACTGACTCGACGACTGATGCTACAACTAAAACAGTTGTTAGTGATACCACAGCAACAACTGAAACTACACAGAGTACAAAAAGGAGGACTAGACAACGTGTAAGTCGAAATTGTTTTTTTTGTTCGACTGCTGTAACTGAAATCGGTTGCCTTATTATAGTTGTGGTTACAACAGCACTCAAAATTTACATAGAAATATAGGTACGAACGCAAAATATTATTCTTGCTGCACAAATGTGTTCATAAATACAGGTGTAATCTCTGTTCCTTTACTCTCATGATTCAATGGGACGTCAATCCCACTTATTATTTGGAGTATAATTAAAATTTCTCTTATACGGTCTTGAAACCCTAATGAATCCAGATTGAGCCCAGTAGGGCTGATGCTGATGCCGTGAGCCGCGGAAGGTCTAAAGGGTTGCCGGGGATCCGGCTCGAATAGCAGAACTAGCAAAAGTTTGACAGTCCCTTTCGCCTCACCTTTACTATCATTTTTCCCCTCTACGAAAAAGACTCTGATCAAAATAATCGATTACATAGTCGTGCCGTACCAGTGGATTTTGTATTGTAGTCAATAAATAGGATGGTTTGGGACTAGTTGAGGTTTCAACATCATGATTATCGAACGGAAGATATCCATTACAGAATAAAATGTCTCTTTTTCTCCTTCAAAAGAGGGAGGGAGAGGTTTGCCATGTTCCTATGCTTGGTAGATGGCTTAGGAATCGCAGTTAGTTGGGTAGACGGTTCTACTTTTATTTTTCTTATGAATGGTAAGTCAATTAGAATTCGGCTCATCCAGCTTTCTAACATTGACTTATCTTAGGATATCTTTATTTTATTTTTATCCTGCAAAGCTGTCGGTCGCAAGTCATAGTAGAATTCATGACTGACTGAAGTTTATTAGTGGATGAAGAGGTATGAGTGAATGAAATGTTATATTAAGATTTGGAAAGACTTATTTTAGAGGGCAGTAGGTTTACGCTATACGAATTACAATTTTGTGATTAATTTCCATATTATAATTACTTGTCTGTGTGTGTTTGTTTATCTATATTGTCTGGTAGGTGGCTACATTTTTCCTTGGATATTGGGGTGGTAAACGATTTGTATAGTTCAGTGTAATAACGTAGATTAAATATCTGATTTCAAGTATTAAATACATTATTAAGGTACAGTTGAAGAAAAATGATGTGATCTTATTTGTCTACAGTAGTCGATCTGGGAATGAGTCCAAAAATCAACATTATTTAAAAGATTCTCGAGTCTATTATCTTTTAATAGGACATGACTAATTGTATTTATAATTTTCTTACGGAAACAAATACTTTCGGCGTTATATTGATTTGAAATGACGTCAGTGGGTATGTTTTATACGTTGAAATGACGTAACTAGACTCCGACTCCTAAACTTTGATTTGTTTTATTCCATTTACTTATTGTTTTATTATAAGATAAAATAAAAAATACGTGTCTAATATTTTTTCATTATCAATACATAGTATAAAACAAAGTCGCTTTCGCTGTATGTCCGTATGTATGCTTAGATCTTTAAAACTACGCAACGGATTTTGATGCGGTTTTTTTTAATAGATAGAGTGATTCTTAAGGAAGGTTTGTATGTATAATACATGCATATTGCACCCGTGCGAAGCCGGGGCGGGTCGCTAGTATAATATATGTAAGCAGGTATACATAATTTTACGCCTATCTCCCATGGTAGGCAGAGACTTTGGAACGCTAATTGGAGACTATGGAACAACTACATACCTCATTCGCTTCATCAACAGTCATCAATGTAATTAACGGACTAAATAGATTTTTAATTTTTTATACCACAACATCATCCCTATTAATATAATTATAAGATCTTCATGCATCAGTGATACTTTGATCAATTTAGTTAATTAAGTATGTTAGATGTAAGAAAATATGTCCTAACGGGGCTGACATGTTCCTAAACGAAAAGTCCCTAAAACCATAGATTATAAAAAAAAAAAAAAAAAATCATCCCTATTATAGGTGGTATTCTATATCTATTGGGTTTTCTTTTATAGTTGGCTTATCGATGTATAATGTGTACAGTATATACACAAGTAAATTAGATACTTTTATGAGTACCTACCTAATTATACAAACTTTTAATTAGAGAAACAATATTTTTCTCATTAACTATGCATACATATGTGAAACATGAAAACTAGGCTCCTTTCCTTATTTTCAATAGATTATTGAAAATGCTTAATACGTAGATATTATTTTTACCGACTTCAATGAAAGGAGGAGCTACTTACTATGTTCGGATGATTGTTTTTTTTTTTTGGTTTGTTCACCGATTACTCAGCGATTTATTTTTAATATTATATTATAGCCGTGTGTCGTATGTGATTTTAAAATATGTTTTTTTTTTATTTACAGAGACCATACGTGTTCTTCAATAATTAAACAATGCAACTCATAGCGAATCTGAAAATAGTACCTTTATCAGTAGGATAGGTATTAATTCACTGTTAATCAATAAATCCTAAATTGTATTTAAATTTAGGTACTTATTCTTCCTAAGTGAAATATTTTTTGTACCAATTTAATTATGTAGATTTAATTAAGATAATAGGATACGTAGGTTTCATTACCTATTCATTACAGATTATTAATGTATTTTAGTAACATAGAAAATCGTATCGGGATTTAATATAAGAAATTAAGTTTATTTAGTAACAGTATATTTTTATCTACTAAGTAAATAATAATATTAATGTATATTATCTTACCTTAAATTACTTCCTACAAAAAATCCAAGTTATTGCACAGGCAATAACTGAAACAACCTTCAACTGGCCGCCCCTAACATCACTAAATAATTTCAAAAAGTTCACAATACTAATGCTGGCTGTATATCGCAATTGTCACCGCCTCGTATCTGTCAACACACAGATATAAAATTTCCCGCCAAACGAAACGTCAAACTGTCAAACGCGCGGACATTGCGCCTCTACTTGCGAAAGGCGCCAATTCACTGATTACAAAATCTCACGTGGACCTCCAGTGCTTGTCTATACCTTTATAACTATGAAGGGCCATTGAAACGACTCTATTGCCATAAGCCCGGGTCAAAAAGGGATAGCAATACGAGAGAGTGTCAACACCCATTGTAAGCCGCTTACTGCTATTAGGATTGCTCATTTGTGCGAAAGAGACGCACAGATTTATATTGTGTAGCTTTAATTCACGCTCCGCCCATTCCTCATTTAGCCCCCACCAGCGGTGGGGTGAACTTGGCCAGTTTTAAATTATCTATTATAATAAAATTATTTCACGAAATAAGGGGTTGGTTATGTTAATGATGTGTTTAATTTATGTCGATATCTTAACTTTGAGTAGTTTGACATTTCTGATTGGCATACGTGCATGGATTTGTTGAAGAGGAATTCTAGTGTAGAATATTTAAGTACTTTATTTCGAGAATAAATACCGTTGTTTTAATTTAATATGTTTGTTTTATTTGAATCAAATAGTTTTTCAGTAGGTAGGTATTCCTTACAAACGTGCATTTTATATATATTTTTTATAAGAAAATATAATTTCTATTACATAGAGTTTGTCGTTTGTGTTTTAAATATTATAGAATATTATAAAATGTCAAATATAAACCATTTTCAAAAGTGCTCTTTATTCAAATAAAAGAGAATGATTGCAGAATCGTCAATTCTCCTTTTGGAAAATGAATGAAGAACTGTCAAGCACCACCAAATTTTTTATTTTTTTTCTTGTATTTTAAGGAATGTAATAGAACCCTTTAATAAATAACTGATCTCCCTCCTGCAACCGCCAAAAAGGCTTTCGCGTCCAATTTTCCGTCTCTTTTCATCCCACACTCGTCATTTCTGATACAACTATAATTGAAGTAGCATACCAAAACGGACCCTATACTTTTAAATTAGAGTAGCTTTTTGTTTGTTCTGTAACTTGTAAGCTTCTGTCAACATTTGCGGTCGGGTTTCGGTTTATCTCCCCCACACAAAATTGTTAGTCACACAAACATTATCTTTGACCAATGGGACGTAACCACGGGCCATTTTCAGCCAATCGATGCGCTTAAAATTTTCGTTTTCGCGCGCTTCCCAATTTGAAATTTGTTTTTTATGATTTTTTAAAATTGGAACCGTAAGCTTTTTGTTTCGCGGTATGTTGGTATCTTTTTCTTTTTTTATTCTGTAATCGGTTTTTAGTCTTCGCATAGAGGAGGAAGCATTGGTATATTTTTTTATATTGATCTAGCAAAAACTTATAGTGTGAAGTTTAATATTTTATTTGATGGTTTCTGTATGTTTTTAAATACCAATATAAAATTATGAACTATAATCATCAATTCAACAATCATACATCCGGTGATTAACTCGTCGAGTACCGGTTTTGTAGACACAATTATAGAACAATAGGTTGCGGTCACCGGTGACCGCTTGGTGTTTAACAGTTTAAACCTATAATCATGTCAAACAACTTATTACAAAGTCATTTAAAACACCTTAAAAAATTAAGGAAATCTTCAATTAATTAAGAAGTAAACAAACAATTGATTCGGCCACCATTGAGTAAGAGTCCAAGATGTTAAGATTGTTTTCATCGAAGTGGGTGCCTACACGACCTCTTTGCTGCTCAATTTGCCGTGGTGCCTACAATAAGGCAACTTGATGCTAACCTAAAGTGGAGAACGAATCTGTTGGATTTAGTTTTTAGAACTGCCTCGTGGGCCGAGTGGTTGCAAGTGTGATATCTGGGGTCTTGGGTTCGATTCCCGGATATTACTGGGGTCTATAAGTGTGCCTCGTAATGGCAATAGGCTCACTCCCTATTACATGGGACTCATACATAACATAAATAGTGAAAAGTGGGTGTTACATTGTACAGTGGCATTTTGTTGATATTTCTTGTGCATGCACCGTACGGGTTCGAAACCTACCAACGGCAAGTACAAATGTGACTTGTTCCGAGTTACATGTAAGTACTTTTTAAGATTATCTAGACACTACTGACAAACGGTGAAGGAAAACATCGTAAGGAAACCTAGGCTTATAATTTCTAATTTTAAGTTTGTAATCGTCAACCCGTATTGAGTAAGCGTGGTGATTAATGTTCAAAACTTCTCCGTGTGAGAAGAGGCTTTGTTCAGCAGTGGGCACTTATAGGCTGTTGATGATGATGATGACGATGATAAATATTTTCATCCATTGGTTGTGTGCAAGATATTAATTAACTCGTCGAGTACCGGTTTTGTAGACACAATTATAGAACAATAGGTTGCGGTCACCGGTGACCGCTTGGTGTTCGACAGTTTAAGCTGTAAGGTTACCTAAACCTCTTTTAATTTTTTTGTAATCGTGTGTATAATTTCTGTAATGGTGAACTAGTAAGTGTTTGGTACAGGAACAGGGGACCCTTGAATCCAAATACGATCGATCGACATTGATATTGTGAAATTTCGTACTCTTGAGTTGCTACACTAGCGCCCATTGCATCCGTATTGTGTGGATATTGAATGAACTAACTGGTATTGAGTTTGGCTTTGTATTCCGTACTCCGAATGCTATTTTAACAACTACGATAGGGGTTGTATATAGTTTTGACATTGGATAATTATTGAAATTTTATTGGTTTGAAATTATATTGGCATTGAGATTGGTTTAAAGAGTAAGCACCAAGATCTTGTGTCACGTTCCCCGGCTGGCTGTGCACAACCAATAAACGCTTTAGTAATAATTGCTGATTAAGTACTATTCGCCAATAATAAACGTTGTTCAATAACTATCGTGAGACATTATATAACATCACGCCTTTCCCCCCCGAAGGGGTAGGCAAAGGTGCACATTACGGCACTTAATGCCACTGTATAATGTAACACCCACTTTTCACTATTTATGTTATGAGTCCCATGTAATGGGGGGTGAGCCTATTGCCATATACCGGGCACATTGCCAGACTCCGTGCTACTACTGCATTTTTAAAAAACCCATTAATACTTTGCCCGACCCGGAAATCGAAACTGATACCCCTTGCCCGGCAGTCGCCCTTGCGACCACTCGGTCAACGAGGCAGTTTACATCCGCATATAAATCTCTACTCATATATTTAGTCAATGTAACGTGGTTTAGCGTAATAACATTGTTTAATCAACAAGACATACTTCAGGGCTCGTACACAACACTGCGATGTGACATCGCATCGCGCATCAACATCTTATCTTCCCAAAATTCTTTGTTTCTTTTTCCTGTATCTCTTTAGCAATAACAGAAGTGCACACTTGTTTTTACGATGCAAATCATATTCAATTTAAAAGTACGTTTAGTACGGTTGACGGTCGTCGAAGGAATGGTCACCCTGGGAGACGCCTTGTCGCACGAAATCGCATCGCAGCAATTCGTGTCGTAATTTTCTGCGTTGCGAGTTCGCATCGCTTCGCATTGCAGTTTTGTGTACGAGCCCTATGTCTGTCTAGTAGTTTATCTTAATTCAAATAAGGTTCTTAGTCTAAAAGTGAACTCTTACGTCCTGTGACGACGATACCTATCTGATATTGATAACGGTTTTTTTTGTTTAAGCGGGGAAAATCATCGAATGACTGCTCCCGCCTTGGTGAGGCGGGAGGGAGTGTCAGACTCTTACTGACTAAAAACCACCCCGTTCCTTCTCCTGCACGTCGAGCCGGAGCACCGGTTACCCGTTAGGTTCTCCGCGACATTGATAATGGTTAGGTAGTGAGTAGAGGTATCTTGAAGAAAATAAACGCCGTCTCCCTACAATCCGGGGCGGCGTGCAGCGCAGCGTGTACGCAATTGCTCAGCAATGCGGAGTCGGGACAGCGCGGTGTCGTGGTTACTATTACCAAACAAACGGGATGATGTGTCTTTCACTGATAACTTTAAGGGTCAATGTTAAACTTAAGAGACTACTGAGACAAACATAATCATTTATTTCAATAAAAACTTAAATAACATTAAACTGTCAAACACCAAGCGGTCACCGGTGACCGCAACCTATTGTTCTATAATTGTGTCTACAAAACCGGTACTCGACGAGTTAATACTAACTATTACATAACATAAAATAACATCACGCCTTTTATTCCCGAAGGGGTAGGCAGAGGTGCACATCACGGTACTTAATGCCATTATACAATGTAACACTTTTCACTATTTATGTTATGAGTCCCATGTAATAGGGGGTGAGCCTATTGCCATATACCGGACACATTTCCAGACTCCGTGCTACTACTGAGAATTTTAAAAACCCAGTAATTTTTTGTCCGATCCGGGAATCGAACCCGAGACCCCTTGCCCGGCAGTTGCACTTGCGACCACTTGGCTAACGAAGCAGTCTAAACAAACTATTACTAAATTAAATATATACAACTAGATACTACTTAGTTATTTATTTATTGTCTTTTAGGGCCTATTCCACCATCTTCTTACAGGTACACGATACACTTAATGACAGATGGTCCATACAAATTATGTTCTACCTATATTCTATCTAGTAGATAGTGACTATCTAGACATTGTGAGGCCCAAATTCCTCATACAATCCAGTTCCTCGCTGCCTCTATGAGTACAGTTTTTATGTTTGCAAAAAGGTATAAACTAAAAATTATACTGAAAGGTTTTTGTGAGTTTTTAGTACTAGTTGATGAGAATCTTGTTATGGACAATCGTAAAGCTGTGGGGAACATGCTGGTCCTATTACTAATAAGTATTATAAACTAGCTTTACGCGCGACTTCGTCCGCGTGGAAAAAGTAGCATATGTTACTCCTTAGTACGTCAGCTACCAGTCATAAAAGTCCCGTCAAAATCGGTCCGGTCATTCCCGAGATTAACCAGTACAAACATGCAGACAGACAGACAAAAATTGTATTACAAACAGACCCTCGTTCTCACACAATCGAACCGACCAAACTATGTAACTAGAGAATTGTATTGTGAACCTGAATGTAACCTATGGAGTTTCTTACTCGTTCTTCTCCATAGGAATCTACACCTTGGAATGAGCAAATAGCTTATCTCTTAAATTTTTTGTTGACGTTCAAAACTGCCTTCTTGGTCTAATTAAAATAAATGATTTTGACTTTGACTTTGAAATAAGTTACCGGAGGCCAATACTCCCCCCTCCTCACCACCAATCTCCTAGACCCCAATCCTCAAATCCTTAACATTCGGCAACCCACTTGTTACCGTCAGGCAATACAAGACTCCTCTCATTCGTTAAACTACCACTAGAGACCATCAGACCACCACGGATGGGGCCGTGGCCGGGCCGATGCCGATACGAAGTCGCGGAGAACTTAACGGGTTGCTGGGGCTCCGGCTCGAAAGGCAGGAGTAGAAACGGGGTGGTTTTTAGTCTGTAAGAGTCTGATACTCCCTCCTGCCTTACTCAGGCGAGAGAAGCCGTTCGATGATT